AGCTTCTCTTCTAGCAGTAGTAAGAATCTCAGAGGCCACAGCAGTCTCTCTGAATTTATGTCATAAACATGCATCTCGCACAGAAAGTCACACTGTTCTAGCTATCTTGGTTCATTTTCTGTTGCTTGTAACAGAACACCTGAAACTGAGGAATTTGTAAAGAAAGAGAGTTGATTTCTTACAGTTCTTGTAGCTGGGAGGTCCAAGGTTGAGGGCTTGAAGGCCTTCTTGTGGGGGTAACTGCAGGGTCCCAAGGCTCTGCCTTTCAACACTGCTGCACTGGGAGGAAGTTTCAGCATGGGCTTTGGAGCGGTAGATATTGAAGCCATAGCACTGTCCCACCCTCTCACCCACCCAAGGATATGATGCTTTGAGAAGCCTAGTAACAGCAAGGACCCCCTAGCCTGCTTCCAGGGCACAGTTCCTGCCCCCATCCTAGGGGCTGGAACCCTGTCTAACTGAGGGCAACATCCCCCCGGCTGGCTCCAACATGTCTGGGAACTATCTGAGCTATGGCCATCCTCAGAGCTGTCTGAAGAGCCAGCTGGCACTGCCCGAGCCTCTGCAGGGCCAGCTAGTTTGGCCTGTGTTCACACAGTGGTTTCTGCCTACACAGACGAGCCATCTTTGTCCAACTGTTAGTCAGCTCTGGTCACGTGGGCCAGGCCTAGCTGATGTCACCATGGGGGCGCATGGCTGCTTGCTGGGCAGGGAGTTCTGCGACCTGGATGCTCTATACCCTGCAGGTAGGCTGTGTGCATTATCTTGGCACTCTGAGAAGTGATGCCTGTATCCACATCTGGCTTCTAGTTCATCTTGGGGGAATAAACTTTCAAGTTCCATGTCTCCAGAGTCCCTCTACTGTATGGTCCTTGGAGTGAAGTGTCAGCATAGCCACACTGAGCTCACTCTGCCACTGGGGCCAAAGAGCATCCTCATATCCAGTGGGCCTAGCCATCACACTGCATTCAAACCCTGGTCCACAGCACTTCCCCATGACTGTGGGCAAGCTGCTTTCCCTCCAAACCTCAGTTTCCTCATGTGTGAAAGGGCCTAATTCATCGGGTTACTGACCAAGATGGAGCCAGTGCTCCTGGGTGTCTTTAGGTGATTTGCGTGAACTTGACAGATGCTCTCTGCCTTCGTGGGGGTTCAATGAGGGGGCCCTGGATGCTTGTAGCTGGAGTTACTGGCTTTGTAGTTCCTCATGCAGCATCTGTTGGGCAGTTCATAGCAGCCTGTTGGTATGGGGCAAGGCCCGTACTTGTCAATGGTGGGAAGCATGGTGTTCTACGTGGCTCCTCAGAGGAGCACATCAGACAGCAGCAGCTCACGGCAAGTTCAACAGCTGATGACTTCAGTCAGGTGCTGACTCCCACATCCTGAAGTCTGGATGTCCATGATTAAGGTGTGGCAGAGCTGGCTCCTCTGAGACCTCTCTGGAGTGTAGATGGTGTCCCCTCACCCCTCACAACACCCATGCAAAGGAATCCTAGGCACGTGGGGCCTGCACCAAGGCTCACTGGCCAGATTCTAGATTAGCAGGAGGTGACCTTCATGCATAAGAGCTTCCTGGGGAGCTCCAGCATGGGTCCTGCCCAGTGGGGACTCCCTGGGTCCCCTAGTGCAGTTGTGAAGGCCCCTTGCTCTGCCTACCACTCCGCCTGACTGTCTCAAGTGGCTCCTTGTCCTCTTGCCCCTGTGTCCGTGGGGACCCAGGCCTGAGGAACTGGCAACTCCTGACTAGAAGTCACCAGGAGCCTCTCTCCTGAGCATGCTCAAGCCTGGTGCCCAGCCTGCAGCTCTGGGCATGTTTGGGCCTCCTGCTGTGATCCAGCATGTTCCTACCCAGCCTGTGGAGACAGTCAGGCCTTTCCTGAATTATCTCTGAAGGAAGCCACCAGCAGCTCTGGCCAAGGTTGCTGAGACGCTGGCCATGTGGTCCAGCTCCTGTGAGTTGCCTCAGGCCCCTCGCTGGCCAGGTAATGATAGTTAGTCATGGACTGGAGACTGTGGCTCCAGGGACAGTCCCCTCCCTTCTGGGAGATTGAATCCAGGCAGCGCTTGCTTCCGCTGCCCAGGGAACCAAGGCCATGCTGACTGGCCCCTCCCTCCGTGGTCCTGGGACCTTGGGTGGCGAACATAGTGAGAAGTCATCAGCAGGGCCTGTGACCAAGCCTGAGTTCAGAGAAGAAGCACTCCCTGGTGCTGCCTCCCTCCCTATCTGCCTAAATGGGAAGCCAGAGAGACTGCGGACTCCTGTGCCCCAAGGGGAGTACATGCGAGAAATGAGAAAGCACCTACAATCCTGAAGCAAAACACACGAGAGAAATATGATGAAAATAACCCAGGGCCAGAGCATGGAAGGAGCCTTGACCTGCAGGCCAGTGTTCTGCTCAGAGCCCAGCTCTGAACCAGCAGGCAGCAGTGGAAGTTAGGCAAGGAGGGGCCAGTGGACTGTCCTATTTCTCAGGACCCACCTCACCACCTTCTCATCTGAGAGCCGTGTCCCAAGGTGAATGTGGATAACTCAGGGTCAGGAGAGGAAACAGGATGGGGAGGACCAGCCATGAACCCATGCTGCCCGGTGAAGCAGGCAGCAGCTCTCGTGGGGGAGGAGGAAGTGCAAGGCAGGCCTTTCAAAAGAATGCACCACTGAGGCTGAAGAGTTGGGAAGGGAAGGAGGGGATGAGGGTTGGTGACAGCAAGTCATGTGGGGAGCTACAGAAGGATTATCACCACAGGAGGCATTCAAAGGAAGGTCAAGGAGTCAACCAGGTGGATGGAGCCACAGGTCATGGTGTTCCAATAACAGGTCCCCAGAGATGAGGAGAAAGCAGAACCCGAGGTGCATGGTGTGATTGTGTCCACGCAAGGCAAAATGCCTGGGAGGTTCAGGAGGGAGGCAGCAGAGGGTCGCAGGAGTCCACTTCTCAGTTCTGGGTGGATTCAAGCACAGTGCTTAGAACAGTGTGGGCTGCAGAGCAGATGTTCAGACATGGTTACATTTTAAGTTTGAGCAAGTGGCAGCCACAGGGCAACCGAGAGTAGACTAGATGTCTACACCGGCAGATTTGAAACCAGCTCTGGGCAGATGACTGGACAAGCAGGGGCTGAGGGGGAGGGGCATGAAACCACAGCCTATGGGGAGTCCCTGGATGGGGCTGGAAGCAGAATGCGCTTCCATGCATCACAATCTCATAACTAACATGGTGGGGGCACCTGCCAGGCCGATCCTCAGCCCAGGTCCCAGCCTGCACAGAGCCTGGCTGGGCTGGAGGAGTAAGCCTCACGGGGTGACAGGGCCCAGATGAGACAGCAAGCATGTTGGGGCAGATGGTGTGAGCAGGAGACCAGGGAAAGCATTGCTGGGCCAGCCAGGTGTTGGGTTAGGCAGGTGAGCATGTAGGAGTGCCCAGCATAGCCACCTTCCAGACACACGGGATCCATGACTGTCCCTCTCAGGCCTCCATGGACCAAGGAGAAACAGGCCGAGCTTGGGGCTGCAGCTGAAGTCTCACAGGGCTGATCCTGTTTGAGGGGTCAAGCTGTGAGTGAAGAGGGAGAGACAGCCCTCTGGATGTTGAAGAGGAGGCTTGCAGAGGGCAGGATGGAGTGGGAGAGGGGAGAAGCAAATCCAAGGGGCTCACTGGGAAAATAAAAAGATAAACATGAGTGGAGGAGTAGTGGGGCACAGGTCGCATGAGCAAGTGAGAAAGGAAAGGGTGGCAGGCCCCACAGCCGAGCCCAAGACCACATGATGTGGGTAGGGTAACTTGGGCTTGGATGTGTGTTCCCCTGTGCGTTGCAGTGCACTTGGCCCCACTGTGGGTGCAGTTCTTGCACTGACATCAGCCCCCCAGAACCCGAAGGGATTGCTTCCTGCATTCTGTTTCTGTGGCATTAGTGTTCAGGTGGGGGCTGTCCTATTTCTCAGGACCCACCTCGCCAGACTGGCCCTGTGCAATTGAGGGCGCCCCACTCCGATTGAGGGTGCCCCACTCCTATTCCTGCCTCCCCTGGATGTTGCTGATGGTCCATCCACACTCCCACCTAGACTTGCAGGACAGGTGGGAAGGGGATCCTGGAGTCAAGGGAAGGTCTGGGCATGATGGGGAGGGTTAGTCCTGAGATGTTGCTGCCACTCTGGAAGCTTCCCACCCTGACCCAGCCCATGGTGGGGGTGCTGGGGCAGCCAGCCGGGCTCACTGAAGGGATTGGCAGTGTCCTCATTCTCGGGATGAGAGCAGGGTGCTCTTGGCATCCCCCAGAGGCTAGAAAGGGCCAGTGGGCACAAAGACAGCTGGTAAGGGGCCCCATAGCACTGGCACCTCAGCATGGAGCTCCCTCGTCCCTGGGTATCCTCACTCTGTCCTGTGCTGGGGATGCAGCCTCAGCTGGGGACTTATAGACATGTCCCAAAAACTTCTACACTGTTGGGTCCAGAGATGGCTCTTCTGGTCCTGGCACACCTGTCATGGGGCATGGCAGGGAGCCTGATTCCCTGCCTCCTGGAGCACCGCCACTACCTGCTGGCTGCCACCCTGTGGGTGGCCCCTTGGTGCACTTCCGGTCATTTCCTGCATAGTTCTCTGCAGCCAGCCCTGCTAGTCCTGGGATTGGGGAGGAGGCCTCCTTTTTGGGACACACCTGCCTGGGCTTTCTGGGGCATAGCCTTGTAGAAACACTGTTCAGAAAGCTCCCAATGTGCCCACCTGTGCTGTGAGTGTCCCCAGCAATGACCAAGAGACTGAATGGCCACCCTGCCCAGGCACAAGCCTGCTTTGACCTCAAGACCAGGTGTGGGCAGCACTTCTCCCCACAGTCAGAGCCTGCCTAGGTCCTGCTCAGGCTATGGGGCAGGGAGCCCAGGCTTTAGCCCCTGAAGCAGAGGCTTTGGCCCCTTAAGCAGAGGCTTTGGCCCCTTAAGCAGAAGCTTTGGCCCCTGGAGCAGAAGCTCCCCTGAACGCCCTTGCTTATCCGTGTGTCTCTGTCCGCAGGTGCCGAGGCCAAGATCATCTTGCCCAAGAAGGAGAAAATGAAGCTACGACGGGAGCGATGGCTGCAGAGTAAGTCCCTGCTCATGTCCTAGCAGTCGCCCACCCATGTCTGGCTGGGGCCTCCTGTGTCCAGGGCTGCACGACTGGGCTTCCCCAGCAACATACCTTGCAGGTTCCCAGAGCAGGTGCCCTAGTGTATCACCTGGGCCCTGTGGGGGCCGAGGGACAGCTGGGGCACAGAGGGCAGCTGGGTGAGTCCTGTGTGGGCACCTGCAGGGCCTGTGTTTCCCCCTTGGAAGACCGCCTGGGTGCTGCTGCTCCTATCTCCCTGTCTGTGAAGATGACCTATTTTGGGTTCCCATGATGGCATTTTTAATTACAGAAATCACCCTGCTTGTTGGAGTCCTGCTTGTCCCAGTGGTAGTTTCAGGAACATGTGAGGCCTTCCAGGCCCGTCACAGCAAGATCACGCTGTGTTTGGGCACAGGCGGGCTCCTGGGTCTGAATCCCTCTCCCAGGACTCCCTCTGGGGGCATGCTCTCCACATCTTGCCCATCTCATCTCAGTGGCCTGACACCACTCCTGTTGTTTCTGTGAGGCAGAATCCCTGCTGCTGTTTTTCCTAAGATTTCCTTGTCAAGATGGTTTTGTGACTTTTTTCTTGCTGTCCAGGCTGTAGTGCAGTGGCACACTCACAGCCACCGTAGCGTCGAACTCCTGGGCTCAGGTGATCCTTCCACCTCAGCCTTCCAAGTAGCAGGAACTACAGATGCACGCCACCACTTCTGGCTAGTTTTTGTGATTTATTGTAGAGATGAGGACTCACCAAGTTGCCCAGGCTGGTCTTGAACCCCTGGGCTTACGCAGTCCTCTCACCTTATCCTCCCAAAGTGCTGGGATTATGGTCTAAGCCACCGCACCTGGCCATGTTTCCTTCCTTATGTCCTCACATGTTAAATTATGATTTGCATTATTTTTTCCTTGAAGGTCTTAAAGAAAATGTGTTTTTCAGAGGTAATGCTTAGAAGAATGTGTCAATTTCTTCCATGACTGAATTTTGTTTTTCATCACTTTTTGGCTGTTTCTTAAGGAACTGAGATACCCCTCCGTTTTTCCTTCACAAACCCTGGCTGGAGCCTTATGAGGTCTTGTTCGTGAGGTGGGTCTGGGTAGGTGAATGGGCTGTGGCCGTTGAATCCTGACTCTTCCCAGCTGTCATTCTTTGAGGACATATCCATTTTCCCCCAGGGCTCTTGGCCCCCTCCTATTTTTTTTTTTAACTACTTGAGTCAATTTTGGCCATTTGTATTTTCCCTAAAGTAATCAAGTTTGATCAGATTTCAGTCTTTATTAGCAAAGGACTGTGTGTTGCCCTCTCACAACTCACTGACTTTTACATTTTCTTCATCATTCTTTATTTGCACCCTCCTTCATTTCTAATTAGATCAGTCAAGCTTGACCTGTTCCATTTCGATAATTAATTCCTGCTTCTAATGATCAGTTCTGTCAGAAGATCTTCTGTCTTCTAAATTGTTAGTTTTTGTTTTACTGATTCCCTGTCCTAGCTTTCTTTGGGTTTGCGTTGCTTAGTGAGTGTGTTTTCACAAGGAAAGACTGTGTGTGAGCTCGTCTCTGAATAACTTTAGCTACATTTTCCAGGGTGTTTCTGCTTAATATTTTGTTGTGAAAAAGTGGACACCTGTACCTTCCACACAGATTTACAACCTTTGTCATGTAACTGCCTGCAGTCATTCTCATCACTCTCTGTTCCTCCATGGTACATGTGTCTGTGTGTTCCAGACAAGTCACAGACATCACTGCACTCTTCCCCCAAATAGTTCTGCCATAGCTCTGTGTTTGTTCATGGTTCTTTTTTTTTATTTTTCTATTTTGAAGATTGTATTTACATACACTGAAATGCCGATTTTAAGTGTGGCATTCAGTGATTTCTGACTGATGTGTCACCTGTGCAACTGAAACCCTTATCAGACGCAGACCGTCACCCACAAGTCTTTGTGTCCTCCTGGTCAGCTCCTGCTCCCACCCACCCTGCTCCCACCCACCTCAGCAATCATAACCAAGCTGAGATCTTTTTTTGTCTATAGTTGAGTTTTTTTTGCTCTAGACTTCACATAAATGGAATCATGTAGGATGTACTGTTTTTATGTCTGGCTGCTTTTGCTCGGCATCATGTTTTTGAAATCCATCCAGGCCACATGCAGCAGGCTTCCATGCCTTCTTATTGCTGAGGGTGTCTTGTGTGAATATGCCATTGTTGACCTTTTCCTGCTAACGGTCACCTGGGCTGACTTCCATTTTAGCCACTGTGAATATGGCTGCTGTGAACATTCTTTGTAAGTCTTTTTGTGGACATGTTTTCATTTCTCTTGGGTAAATGCTTAGGAATGGAACGCTGGGTCATAGGGCAGGTGTATGTTTAGTATCATAAGCAGCTGCCAGACACTTTACGAGAGTGGTCGTGCTTCTGCACTCCCATTGACAGCATGTGAGAGCTCTTGCTGTCCTAGCCTTGCTGGAACGTGCATGTGTCTCCTCAGCCTGGGCCGTCTGGTGATCGTGAAGTGGAGCTCATGGTGGTGCTAATTTCCATTGTTACAAAAAGAGCATTTTCATGTGCTTGCTGGCCATTTGTGTTCCATCTATAATGAAATTCATTTTTCATGAGACTCTTGCCTTTTTATTGTTGAACTCCAAGAATTCTTTCTATGTCTTGGAGACCACTTCTTGGTTGGGTATGTGTTTTACAAATACTTTCTCATAGTGACTTGCCCATTCATTTTCTTAACAATTTGTTTTGGATGAACAGAAGTTTAAGCTTGAGAAGTCTATAAGATGTACATTTTTTCCTATATGGCGATTGTATGTGTATGTTTGTATGTATATGTCCTGTTTAAGAAAAATTTGCCTAATCCCAATTTATGAAGACATTTTCTTGTGTTTTCTTCTAAAAACTTTATACTTTTAGCTTTTATATTTAGGTTTTGTATCCATCTTGAATTAACGTTTGTGTGGTGTGAGTTAGTGGCTAAGGTCCTTTTTTTTTTTCCTTCTGTTGTGGATATTCAGTTGTTCCAGCACCATTTGTTTATAAAGATTTTTTTTCCCCTTGTTGGATTATTTTGATGCCTTTGTGAAAAATTGAATGACCTCGAAAGCATGGGTCTATTCCATGATCTATTTATTGCACCTTAGCAAATACTATACTATCTTGATTACTGTAGCTTTAGCAAAAGTCTGGGAGCAGGTAACGAATGTTTTCATCTTAAGATTGCTTTAGGTGTTGTAGGTCCTTGGCATTTCCACATAAACCTTACCATTAGCTTGTCAATTTCTTTAAAAACAATAAAAACCTAGTGGGATTATTATTGGAATTGCATTGAATACATAGATCAGTTTCAGAATTACCATCTTAACAGTATTGAGATTTCAAATCCATGAACATGGTATATATCACCAATTTCCCTCATTAGTGTTATGTAGTTTTTAGTCTAGAGGTCTTACATTTTTATTATTTATTTATTTATTTATATTTTTTGAGTTGGCGTCTCACTCTGTTGCCCAGGCTGGAGTACAGTGGTACACTCACGGCCCACCCCAGCATTGACCTGCTGGGCTCCAGTGATCTACCTCAGCCTTCCAAGTAGCTGAAACTACAAGCATGAGCTACCACACCAGGCTAGTTTTTTTTTTTTTTTTTTTCAATTTATTGTAGAGATGAGGTCTTACCAAGTTGTCCAGGCTGATCTTGAACCCATGGCCTGAGGCAATCAACTTGCCTTGTCCTCCCAAAATGCTGGGATTACAGGCTGAGCCACCAAACCTGACTGTCTTACATTTTTAAAATTAGCGTATTGTTAAGTATTTATAGATTTTGATGCTATTATAAATGATTTTTTTCCAGTTCTCTACTAGTATATAAAAATACAGTTCATTTTTTAAAAATATTAATCCTGTATTCTATGACCTTGTTAAAATGATCTGCTAAGTCTGGTAGTTATTTTGTAGATTCTTTAGGATCCTTAGAGATGCATACTTTCTGTGTGTGTGTGTGTGTGTAAGTGTTTTCCCTCAGTTTGCTTTTTATTTTGATATTTGTAGAAGCCTTCCCATGTCAGTGGCCGCAGATCTGCTCTTCCGTTCCCTTTATGAGGATAGGCACACTTTGGCCTTGCCATTCCTTCCCCTGCAGAGTTCTCCAGCTTCCTGGCCACTCTTTTCCTGGATTTCGAATCCAGTTGAGCAGCTCTTATTCTATTTTTTGGCCTTTGATTCCTTTATTAATTTGCAGCATTTAATTCACACATAATTGATTTTTAGGACTAGTGTGAGAGAGGAATCCAACTTTTCCCCTGAAGGAGGCTGGTGACCCTGTGGTGCTGTGTTCCCTGAGCTGCCCTGGGCCCGAGTGTTCCCCTGTGCTTTGCCATGCCATTTTAATTCCTGTTGTTTTATAATTTGTCTTAATATCTAACAGTCCTGCTTTCTTGTTGCTTGTTCTTTTTTAAAAATGTTTTGACTATTATACATTTAGTCTTTTTTTTAAAATAAAATGTAGGATTAGCTTCACAACTTTCATTAAAAATCTTGTTAAAATTTTGACTGAGGCAGCATCAGATTTTTAGAAATTAATTGACTGGGAGTAGTTTAGCTCTCCTGCTCATTCTCACAATTGCTCAGTAGCTGGTGTTTTCTAGGAGCCCTGTGGGCTAAGTTACCCAAGGTATGGATTCCTGCCACTGTGTGTGCTTTCTCTCTCTCTCTCTCTCTCTCTCTCTCTCCCCCTCTCTCCCTCCCCTCTCTCTCTCTCTCTCTCTCTCTCTCTCTCTCTCTGTCTCCTTCCCGCCCTCTCCCTCTCCTTCTCCCTCTCTCATTTTCTCTTTACTATGAGCAGGTAGTGAATTTCATCAAGACCTTCTGACACTTCTTGTGGTGACCATGGGCCTTTTCACTTTGTAACCAGCCACTATAGGGACCACATTGACGTGTTTCCTGCTGCAGAGCCCTGTGTACATACCTTGGACACACCCTGGCAGGGCACAGCGTACTATTCTTGTGAAACATGCCTGGCTTTGATTTGCTGATGTCTCTCTGGGTTTTTGTGATTGTCATCATTGGAGCCACAGCCTCTTTTCCTTGGTCCAGTCTGCAGCCTGTGAAGGAGCTGTCTGGGGCCTCCCACTGCCCTCACAGCCCCTCCTACCCACCTCCCTTTCTCTGCTCTCCAGGGTACCCTTGCTCTCTGGAAAGAGGCTATGGTTATGATTATTTGCAAGTAATCTGTTTACCATCTTCCAGGCAGGATGGGAAGGCACTGAATTATCACCTTGTAAACCTCATTGCCACTGGGTACAAGCTCTGCCCAAGTTCTGTCCCTTACAGGCTGAGGATCTGGGAGGAAGGACAGTCTGTCCAAGGTCCTTGTCAGCTATGTGGGGACCCAAGGCAGGGTGGTGTCCTCTGACTTTGGATTGGTCAGGGTGGGCTTTCAGACTTGACTGTGCGGGTCACCTGTCCTGATGAGGGAGGGGAACACTGCCCTCACGGTGACCTGGAGAGGAGCTGGTTGATGCTGGGCTTGGGAGACCCCGGGCATTCCTTTCTAGGAGGCAGGGTGCACTGTGCCCAGCCGCGAGGCTGTTGTGGCTGCGCCTCTGTCACAGGGTAATGGTGTTTGAACTTTGAGCCTGCTGTGTCATCCTGCTGTGTCGTCTTGGGGAGAGCGAGGCTTTGTACCAGATCTGCACACTTCCCACATGTTACATGTCAGCAAATAGCATGTTTGAACGTGTGTTCCATTAGCATGTTTGAAATAAATACATTTCAAAGGGAAAACCAGAAACCCTGCCCTTTCTGTCCAGGCTCTGCCCAAATCCCTTCTCCAGTGTGCTCTGCCCAAATCCCTTCTCCAGTGTGGAGGCTGTGGCCCTGCCTGCCTGCCTGCCTACCAGCCACAGCTTACCACAGTGCCACACCTGCAGGCCTGTCCTCTGATCTGTCCTTGGGTCTGTCCTTGGATCTGTTGTCCGGTCCATCCTGGGGCCTGTCCCTCTGGTTTGTCCCCAAGCCTTGGGTCTGTGCTGCGGCCTGTCCTTTGGGTCTTTCCTTGGGTGTATCCCTGGGCCTGTTTCTCGGATCTGTCCTCAGATCTGTCCTTGGGCCTGTTTCTTGAGTCTGTCTCAGGGCCTGTCCCTCGAGTCTGTCCTCAGATCTGTCCTGGGGCCTGTTTCTTGGATCTGTCCTTGGGCCTGTCCTTAAATTCTGTCCCTGGGCCTGTCCTTTAGGCCTATCCTTGGACCTGTCTCTTGGGTCTGTCCTTGGGCCTGTCCTTGGCTGTTCTCACTCTGATATTTTTGCCTACACCTGGTCTTTCTCCTCCCCACACATGGGACCTACTTTCTCCCTCCTGTAATCTGGAAGGAGACCCCCAATGCTGGTTTTAACTGCACAGGGACAAAGGGGAGCCTGACTCCCAGTCAGTGCCTTGCTTAAATCAAGCCACTCTTGTGCATCACCTCTTTACCAGCAGCCCTGTACCAGTCCAGAGCACATACTGCTCTTACCAGTGTCCCTTTGTAAAAGGAAGAAATACTCAGGTCCTTAGAGCCTATGGCTCCAGCCTCATCATCAGCCTGTAATTACAGAGCATAACTCTGTGATTAAGGGGAAAAAAATAACTTGGAGCCAGCCTGCCTCTAGGCTTCCAGGAGTGGAATGTAGGTGATAGCAGGAGGAAAGGACATAACCTACCCGTGAACAGAGCCGCTGTCAGGCTTGGGGCAGACACCCTGGTGGGCAAGCTCCGAACCTGAGCCATCTGCACTGTGCCCCTGAAGGGCTCTGGATCATCTGCACCATTGTCTCTGAGGGACTCTGGGCCTGGATTCTCTAGGCCATCTACACCATTGTCCCCAAGGGGTTCTTGGCCGACCCTCCTGGCCATCTCTACTGTTGCCCCTGGAGACTCTAGACCTGTGCTCAAAGTTTCCTTTTATTTCTCTCTGACCCATTGCCCCTCCCTTCTCAGAAATCGAAGCCATCAAGTTAGCTGAGCAGAAGAGCCGGGAGGAGCGGAGGCGAAGGGCCACCCCGGTGGTAGGTGATCTGCATCCACTGAGGGATGCCCTGCCCCAGCTGCTGGAGCTCCAGGCTGGTAGCCAGCGCCAGGTCCGCAGGTGAGTGTCTGGGATGGGCTGGCCTGTCCTGAGCTATGGCTGCTGACTGGTACCCAAAGGCGGGGCAGTGAAGGGCCTTGTTGACTCTGACGCCCAGGGCCTGGTCCTCTGCAACGGTCACCCTGCCACCTCCCCTGGGGTGAGGTCAGGCCCTGGCATGAGCTCTCCTCGCGATGCACTAATGCTCCCTTCAGACCTACTGTCACCGAGCGGCCATTTGCTAGTTGAGGTTCCATGTGTCCTGAAGATGGGCACGTGGTCCCCAGTCTTCTGTGGCATGTCATTCCCGTAGTATCTAGGCTCACCAGAAGGACAGTGGCTGCCCTTTGTCCCCTTTGAGGGATGCAGCCCACACAAGCTGCTGCAGGTGGGGCCAGTCTTCAGGAGATTTGTTCTCTGGCTTCAGCCTCGGGACGTGCCACCATGGACAGTGGCCTCTGCTTGCCTGGACTGCTCACAGCATGCAGGTGTCAGATTCAGGCTGTGGGCTGTGGCTCAGCTTTGGTGTCAGGGGGAATCGGGCTTCCTCTGCCGCTGCAGTGACTGGTCCTTAATGGTTCACTCATGCCACCTCTCGTCTGCCTCTAACAGTCCTCTCCTGCTGCACCTCCATCTGTGAAGGAAGCAGGGCTGTGCACTGTGCCATCTGGGCTCTGCCCTTACGTGGGATACACCCCCCGGACAGGGCGAGTGGCCCCAGGACGGCTTCCAAGGTGTAAGCAGCCAGAAGTTTCTGTCCAGATGGGGGTGGCCACTCGGAGTGGAGATTTGACGACTTAGCAGACCAGCAGTGCAAATTCCATTCCTGGTTCTCAAATGAAAATGTGACCTTGGTCAAGTGTCCTCTCCCTGTTTTTAGTTTTCTCATCTGAGAAATGTTCTTAGGCTCCTGGAAGGGAGAAAGCTGTGTTAGCATCCAACTACCAGGCCAGGAGGAATGTGTCCACTGCTATGGGCTTTCCAGACCATGTGGGGGTCTCTGGTGAGTGGTCCTATGTGCTCTCACTGAGAACCTCCTGCTTGCTGGGATCACCGTCTCTCCCAGATGCATCTCAGGCAGCAGTGTGACTTGGCACCAGGGCCCTTTGTTTTAGAACTATTTCAGGTTTATGGAAAGGTAGCAGAGACAATGCCAAGAGTTCCCAGCTTACACCCAAATTCCCTGTTAATAACATCTTACATGAGTATGGACATTTGTCACAACTAGGGACCTGTATTGATGCATAAATGATAATGATTTAAAATGATAACTGACTAAAGCCCATACTTCAGATTGCCTCAGACCTAATGTCCTCTTTGTGTCTCAGAACTCCATGTGTTCCATGTGGTGTGACCTCTACACCAGTGTCTTTGGTGCAGGACTGGCATGTATGTCCAGCACATGATATTCAAGTGCCATGTCCTCAGGCCCTGGCTTCTCTGGCTAGCCTTGTTTTGATGACCATGACAGTTCTGAGGACTAGTTGGGTATGTTTTAGGATTTCCCTAGCTGGGATCTGTCTGGTGTTTTCTCACAGGTAGAGGTAGGGGCTGTGGGTTTGGGAGGAAGCCCCCAAAGATGAAGTGCCATTGTCACCCTCCTGGGGCACATTCTGTCATATAACCCACCATGGCGAGGCTGGCCTGGGTCTCCTGGCTGAGGTGTCCTCAGGTCCTCCTCCCTTTCCATCTGTCCCTTCTGGAAGGAAGTCACTCTGTACTGTCCACACCTCAGGGTGGGGGTTACGCTGCCCCTCCTGAAGACACCGCGTCCACACTATTCGGAATTCTGCCGTCAAAGGAGTTCTATCTCCTCTCTCCACTTATTAACCAGTCACTCATGTCAGAGTGGACTCCTGAGTATTTGTTATTCTCTGGGCTACAATTCAACACGCCTTTATTTTGCAGCTGAAGTTGTTCCAGGCTTGGCCATTGGAACCCTTTTGGTTGACTCCTGGGTCCTTTTTACATGCCCATCGACATGGAGGTGGCTCTGTCGTGTTTCTTAGCACTTCCTGTACCAGCAGGTACTGTGGACTCACCTTGGGCCTTGCCCCAGCTGCTGGGGCTCCTGGCCCTGGACCAGCCATTTCCCTGATGAGCTCTAGCTCCTGCCCTGGAGGAGGTGAGAGTCACCGCGATCTGTGTCTGGTGCATGAGTGCTCCTGGGCAGTCGCTACTTCCAGGCCCTCAGCTGACAGTAGAAGTGCAGGTGTGTGCTGGTGTGGGTGCCTTTGTGTGGAGTCGGGGACAGTCCAAGGCCAACCTTACCTCCAACACCTAAGACCCCTTGCTCATGGATCTGGTGATCCCTGGAAGGTCTTATGAAGCACTGTTGTACTGTCACAGTGAAAACCAGCTATGGGCTGGGATGTTTGGGGCGGAGCCTGGGGAAATCCCTGATGTGGCGCCTCCAACTGTCCCCTCCATGGAGTTAAGATGGCATCCCTTTGCTGGAATCATCGTGTGATCTCTACACCAGTGTCCTTGGTGCAGGGCTGGCATGCTCTGCCTTTGGGGCCTTCCCTTCTATGCCCTAGCGGGCCTCCTGGCCTGTGATGCCTAAGGCTAACCCAGCTCCAGAAGTTGGGTACCTGTTATCACCTCATGGCCTTGCCTCTCCTAGACCAGGCCTGGCCCTGGGTGTTAATGGCATGAAGTATTTGGAGCCTTCCGTGACCTGGCCCTTCATACTTCAGCAGGGCAGGTTCCTCTTTGTAAGGACAGGAGCTGCTCTTTGGAGACAGTTCACACCAAAGGTGATGTCCCACATGCATGTATGGTTCTGATGGCCCAGCTGACCAGTGTTTCTGTTACCACTTGCCCCCTCCATGACTTTCTGGATTCTATCTTGGAGAGGCCCTGGCTCCAGGGATCCTTTCACTCTATTCCCTTCTGAGTAGTGGCCATGATGTTCTCCTCATGGTGGTGTGGGAACCTGAGACCTGAGGCTGCCCCATCCAACCTGGCAGGCAGGTGCTGCACAGCAAACTGTGCCAGGGCCGGGTATTCCTGAGGCTGACAGAAGACCAGACTCCCTAGATGCTGATCCTCTTTAGGCCAGAGCTCCCTGATGGCGGGCGTGTTCTCATTCCCAAGACAGGTTGGGAAAGCCTCCTGCTGCAAGCCACCAGGCCAGTGGGTGCAGGGATATGGCCATCCACACGTAGGACCCCACATGGCCCAGGTGGCTTGGCTGCACCTTGGGACTGCTGCTGCCACCCGCTGGCCCCAGACCTCAGAGCCTAGTGTGGGGGTGGAGAACCGGCTGAGGTGGCAGGACCAGGTCTGGACAGACAGTCCTTTCCCAGATACTCCCAGGAGCAAGGTTTCAAAGAACAGGGGCAAGAAATGCTATTTTGAGTAGACACAAAATGTCTTTAATTCATATTTTAAAAGAACCATGATTAAAAAATCAGTTATCCTGGCCTGGAGGCTAAACTTAGGTGTCGGCCTGAGGACTCCAAGCTTTCTGCCCACCCCCGGTCCCAACCTTATCTGCGCCTCTCTGCAGCTTCTGTGTTGGAGGCAACTTCAGAAGAGAGCCTAGGGGAGCCCATGGGCTCTGTTTTCCTGACAGACTCAGGGTCGGTCACTGTCCCTTCTGGACATCGGCCAGGTGGGTGGGCTGCCTTGGATGCGCTGGCCGCAGGGAGGCCTTGTGAGCTCTGAAGGGTTGCATGGGTTATCTGGAGTGCGAGAGTCTGTGTGGGCCAGCGTTGGGGACCAGAGCATGCTGACCTGCCTCCCTGTGTTGAGGCAGGATGCAGGTAAGTAGATGGCAGACTCAGGACTCCCCCATGGCTCTTGATAGCCTCCCTCCTCAAGGGCACTTCTGTGCTTGCTGGTGTCCTCTGTGGGTGCCGGCTGGGCGGGAGCTGCATGGGTCCATCACTGTTCCTGGGGTCAGTTGTCAGAAGGGCAGGTGCAGCCTCCTACTGTAAAATTGGGAGCACTTTTTTTTCTTAGTTAATTGAGTCAGGGTCTCACTCTGTCACCCAGGATGGAGTGCAGTGGCACAATCATGGCTCACCACAGCCTCAACCTCCTGGACTCAGGCGATCCTTCCACTTCAGTCTCCCGAGTAGCTGGGACTACAGGTGCTTGCCAACATGCCTGGCTGATTTTTTAATTTTTTTGTAGGCATGGGGCCTTAATATGTTGCCTAGGCTGGTCTCAGAACTCCTGGGCTCAAGCAGTCTTCCTGCCTCGGCCTCCCAAGGTGCTGGGATTATAGGCATGAGCTATTACCTGGCCTTTTTCCTCCTTTTAAAGAGGGAACTTATAGGACTCACTGGCAGGTGTAGTAGCCAGTGATTCTTGGCAGGAAGTAGCCTGTGCCCTGCCCTGCCACGGTTGTCTGATGAACCTTCCCCTCACTGGAGGTGGGTGCAGGCTGTGTCAGGAGATGCCCACCTGATCTCTTCCTCCACATCACATGGAGCTCAGAGGAGCTGAGGCACATCCTGGATCCCTGCCTGCAGCCCCAGATCCAGTAGGCACATGACTGTTGGGACAGGGACTCAGCCGGTCCAGGCCTCATCATCCCCTCTGGTCCTAGCCTCCGCAGTCACAGTGGACCACGTGTGGTTCATGATGGTTTGCTCACCTTGGGCCACCACACTGTCTACTCTGAGAAGGGGGTAGCCAGAGTCTGCCCACAAGGAAGGTTCTCGGGGACATAGGGTGTTGAGCTGATGTGACCTCTCTGTCCATAGCAGGACAACCAGCAAGCCCAGGCCCACTGAGCTCAGCCGGATGAGCACAGCCCAGAGACAGCAGCTCCTGTGAGTACCACCTGCCCTGTGGCCCCAGGTGGCCGCTTCGCTTATCTCCACTCTAGGCACATCATGTTTGGAAGTACAGTGGCATCCTGTGGTCATATGTGGTCATACCCTCCTCTCTCTTTCCTTCTGCCCTCTGGGATGATGTGGGCATGATAGACATTCACATTCAGTTCTGTGGTTGGACACCTCTGCTGGTGGTGCCTCAGTGGCTGTAGGCGGGGCCAGCACCCAATTAGTGGGTCCAGCACCCAGTTAGTGGGGTCAACACCCGGTTTATGGGATCAGCACCCGGTTAGTGGGTCCAGCACCCAGTTAGTGGGGTCAGCACCTGGTTGGCAGGACCAGCACTCAGCTAGGAGGGCCAGCACCCTGCTGTTCACAGAGATTTGTACCCGATCGTCTTCTTGGATAAAAAAATTAACAGGCCACACTTTCTTAGCTTCTTTGTGGACCCAGCTACAGATTCCACTGCTCATGCTTTGGGGCTTCTGCGGGAGCCCACATTCTGCGCTCTTGTAAGACTTTTTTGGTAGATACTGAAATGATTTTTTTCTTTGTTTTTGAAGTCACTTTGCCAAGGTATTTCTTAGTATGGAACAGTCTATGTCCATTTTTACTAAAGCCTGTTGTGCCCTTTCAGTTTATAAATTAAAGTCATTTTTATAATGACTTCTTTTTAGAAATTCATATTAAGTTATAGCTTCAAATATTTATCCTATATCTTGATTTTGTTCTCTTCTTTATGGGCACCAGTCATGCATTTGTTGGGTCTCTGATATATCTTCCACATCATTTTCTCTAATCCATTTTTACTGGATGCTTTTTAGCCCTGAATTTTTATTATCATTTTATAGCTTTGGATTTTTTAAAGTTTTTTTTTTTAACTCTATCACCCAGACTGGATGCAGTGGCACAACCATAGCTTACTGCAGCCTTGACCTCCTGGGCTCAAGCAATCCTCCTGCCTCAGCCTCCTGAGGAACTGGGAGTACAGACATATGCCACTGTGCCTGGCTAATTTTTGGCGGTTTTTCTGTGTTGCCCAGGCTGGTCTCAGACTCAAGTGATCCTCCCACTTTGGCCTCCCGAACAGCTGGATCTTTTTGTAGATTTTGGTGCTTGTTCCTGTTTTGTTTCTCTTTATGAACTGAGTTCTTCCTGCACTAACTTCCTCTGGAGATAGTTTGTATATAGAAGAACCCTCTCAAGGTGATCATCCCATAGCTGGTCTCTTGGCTCTCTCTCCATCACCCTCCCCTGTGCTTCTCCTCAAGCACAGCTTGGTCCAGGAAGCCCCTTCCTTGCCTGGACGGGGTGAGGGTTTGTCTCTCACAGGCACATGTGACAGCGGCCTGTGCCACCCATGCTGCCACATTCCTGTTATCACTGCTTTAGGAAGCAGCTCGGGTTAGTAGGTCTCCTAGTGTCAGCAGATGAGGGTTGATTTTGTGTTGCTTTGAGCAGATCTGAGAGGGGAAGGGGAAGCAGCTTGCTTGCTCAGTGTTCTGAGGTCAGAAGTCTATTCCCTCTTGTGTCCATGCTGCCTCACCAGGGCATGCAGTGGGTGCTCAGATATTTGAATGACTCAGAGCCTTCTATTCCAAGATCCCCAGTGAAAAGTGGGTGTCCCCTGGCCCCTGGCCACACGTGGGTGGGCACTTTGTCCATTGCCTGATGTGTATTGGGCATATGCCCTGCAGCTCTGGGACTGGCAGTCTGTGCTCTCTGTCCACTCCCATAGGCATGTGGTCAGCCACAGGGTGAGTGTTGCTGAGCCGGGGATGGGCTGTCCTCTCAGGTAGATGGGCCTCTGGAGCCTCCATGTTGGCTGGCCAGGTGACCCATCCCACATCTCAGGCAACACCCACCCACACGCATTTGTGTGAACTCTCCCGCAGCTCCAGCCCCAGGAATCACTATCGGTATCCCTCTCCATCCCTACCTTTGACCCCAGGATGATACATGGGGGACATTAGGTTCCTGGCCTAGGCCTACCCCTGGCCTTGAGATCCTCAATAGTGCCTAGGCTGTGACTGAGGCCTTCACACCTGACTTAAGCAGGAGAACCGCTGTCATGCTGGAGCTGGTGTCAGGGCAGGAGGCAGTGACGATGGCCTTGTGCCATGAGGAGGGCCGACTGGCCAGGGACTTCTAACAGCGCCGTGCTCTTCCCGCTGTCCTCTGGTTGTCCATTGGGGTGTCAGGGAGCCCCATCAGCTGCAGGAAAACAAGGCAAGTGAGACTTGGACTTGGATGCAGACTAGGGGACTCTGTCCCACCACACCCAGGCAAGGCCTCCCAGCTGATGCAGCATAAACCTGTTCCTGAAACTGCCCTTGAGGCTTCTGTGTCTGAGAGGCTTCTGTGTCTGAGAGGGACAGTTACCTTTGTCGTCCCACAGAATAGCTCATTGGAGCATAGGTGGCCACGCTGCATGTCCATTTGCTCTGTGTTTTGAATGTGAGCTGGCCCCTGTGCTTCTAGATGGCCGCCTGGTCCTGTGGGGTGTAGACCAGGAGCTGGGTGACTGAGGGGCAGCATAGGGCTGGGGATGGGGCTTGGGGTGGGGTGAAGCTGGGGGTGGGGCTTGAGGGACCAGGGCTTGGGGTTGGGCTTGGAGATATAAGGCCAGGGCTGGAGCTGGGGCAGGGCAGGGCAGGACAGGGCTATGGCTGTTTCTGCTGATAAGCCCTGTGTTGTCCCTCCACTCGCAGCTCTTCTGTGTCTATTCTGGTCGTGCTGTAGAGGGTGGTACCTCTTATGTAAAGCTGTATGCCAGGCATGGAGCTGTCACTGCCCACACAGCAGCCCTGTCAGCCCTGGGCCTGTGGAGGCTAAATGCCAATGGTGCTCCCTGTGGGGGGCCAGGGCACCAAGCCTGCATGTGGCTACAAGGGCAGCCCAGACAGCCACTCCTTATGAGGGTAGCCCAAGCAGCCACTCCCTCCAGCCTCAGAGTGTGGTGACCCCAGGACTTTGCCACCCACTGCAGTGTCCAGGCCACCCAAGTCACCTGGAGTCTGACCGTGTTAGGTCCTGGGGCGTGAATGCTCATCCTGGCTCTCACCCAGGGTTAGGTGCCTGCCGCCATCTGCTGACCTCTGGTTTTCATTCTTGCAGAATGGAAGAATGGACCCGGTTCCAGGAGCTACTGGCTAGCCCAACCTACAGAACCAGCCCCCTACAGGCCATTGGACAGCAGCTGGCCCACCAGATGCAGCTGGAAAGCAGCAGCCAGCTCTGACCAGGCGGTGGGGCACCACACTTCCCCAGGACACATACACAGGCAGGAGTGCCCCAGAGAGTGACTGGCCCCTCAAAGGTCTCTTTGTATTAGGGAACAGGGACAGAGAGGTTGTGAGAATCAGTGAAGTGCTCTGTACATGCCTTCTTCATGCCCAGGGTCCTTTCCATGAACTGCCCCGTTTCCCAGGGCAAGCCCACCCTGGGACAGATGCCCTGCTCTATCAGGATGACAAGCTGTATCCCCAGGCTGGGGCCCCCAAGCCCCATGTGGAGTGGGGGTGACTGACATTGATTTTGTGGGGGTGCACTTGCTTGAAACTTGGGACCTGTCAAGCCTCAGTGCCCTCACTGGATAGGCACCAATGTCCCAAGACCTCAGTGTGGCTTCCTGGCTGTGTCAGGGGCAGGACTCTGTCATTACGTGCTGTTCATATGAGGAAGGGTCTCGGATGGCGACCTGCTGGGCTAGGGGCTGCCACAGCTGCCAGCATTGGCTCAGTCTGAGTGTCCACTCTGGCCTGGTGGCACCTGGCAGCACTCAGGTGTGTAGACTGCTGGAGATGGCCCAGATCTCTCCACCTGTCCTCTCGCTCACTGTCCATACACTGTTCCCCTTGGCCTGGGCCCCCTGCCTGTTCTCTCACTCACTGTCTACATGCCATTCCCCGCTCCAGCCATTTCCACCTGCCTGAGCCCAGGGGTTCACCACCCTGCATTCTGGTGGCAGGCCCTAGAGCCTCTGGGCTGACCCAGAAGCAAGGTGGCTTCACATGTGGAAAAAAAAAACCAACCCTGGGATTTGGGACTGGTGGTCGTGCTGTAGAAACATCAACCAGTCAGCCCTCTTTCCAGGATGCGGCAAATGTGGGTGCTGCATCCTCAGGCCTTGTGCTGTGTGGAACTTGCCCATATCCTCTAGGGAGTTGAGTGTGTGTGCTGGTGGGACCCCACATAAGTCGTTTGACGGGCTGTGCCTTCACAGGCTGCCTGGGGTGGGGGTGGCGCCAGGTGCTCCTGGGCCTCCTAACTCCGTGTACTCATCCCCATGCTGCCGCTTCATCATTCTGAGCCCCTGTAGTCCCCTCCTCCTCCACCCTTTCCATGTGATCCGAGTTTTAATAATATGTTTATTATGTATTACTTAAGAGGGAAACCTAGCTTCCTGGTCTTCAAGTGACTTCAGTCTGACTGTGACTTGTGGCCCCTTCTGGAGATACCCATGGGCTCAGGATCCTCTGACTCCTCTCCGGGACCAGGGTCTTCCTGTTGAGGCCCCACCTAGAACAGCCCTGTGCTGTGACTGCAGCCCTGTCAGGAAGGTGTTTAAACAAGACCTAGGCAAGCAGAGGCAGCAGGCGTCCTGTCACTGAAGGATTCTGACCATCCCAAGAAGGTAGCCTGATAACTGCCAGCATGGGGGCATCGCCCAGGCATTCTCTACAACACAGAGCCCCCACTGTGCAGCAGTAGGCCAGGACAGGCAGGTTCATCTGGCATGGGAAAGGCTTCCCTGGGTGTGTCTATCGCCTTGTGGTGACTGCCTGTCTGCTAAGCACCGCCCTGTGCTGACCCCTGCTGAGGGGGTCTCCAGAGAGAGGATGGGTTATTCCTGTTGCCCAGAAATGTTACGTGCATCTCTGTGTGTGGACAGGCATCTGGGGCCAACCCTGAAACAGCTCTGCATGGGTGACTGGGAGTTCTGCTTGTGTGTGCCTTCAAACCTTTGCAGGATGAGTGTGAACTATGCGTAATAAATTTAAGTGGAGTTTTCCAGCTCAGTGGCTTTCATGCGTCTTAGACCCTGGGGCCCTCAGTCCATTTTTCTGTGTTAAGGGTAAACAGAGCAGATAAAAGTCTCCTGGGGCCTGACGCTGCCATGGCGCCGGCCTGGGGGCCCTCTGAGGAACTCTGGTTTATGATGGCATCCTCCCTCCCACAGGCTAACCCGGATACATCCTCCCTGCAGCACTGGGCCTATGTTGCTGGCACATGAGGGATGGCGGCAGTGGGAGATGCGAGACAGCAGGAGGGGCCTTCTAGCAGGTCTTGAAGGAAGGGTGACATTTGGCTGCGGGGGTGGGGAGTTGTCCAGTCTAGAGTAGAGGGCTCCCCTGAAGTCCCCTGCCAGGTATGGGGGCCTTCTTTGTCCCTGGCTATCCTCTGGCTGCACTGTCATCTCCAGGGAGGCTGAGGGACTGCCGCCTCCCAGTCCGGGCCATGCTTCCTCAAGGCCCGTGGCAGGTGCCTGGATCCTCTCCCCAGAGAGCACCGGCTTCCTCCACCTGGCTGCTGCCCTCCCTGGCGCTGGCTCCCTACATGTGAGCAGTCTGTGTCCCCCAGAGCCAGGTGTGTCAGTCACTCACTGCCATTTGGTCCTCACGCAGTCAGGAATTGGTCCCTAGCCTGGGCCAGGCTCTGCTTGACTTGGCTGGATACACTCACTGAATCATTTGTTTTCTGGCTTAGGATATCATATGTGTTCACTGACAGTCCTGGAGGCCAAAAGTCAGAAAGCAGGTGAGCAGGGCCAGGCACCCTACAGGCACTGTGGGTCAGGGTCTGTTCTGCCTCAAGCCTCCTGGTAGCCAACAGCCCTTGGTGTCTTTGTCTTGCAGCCATGTCACTCTCATCCTTGCTTGTCACCCATGGCTTTGTCCGCATGTCTGAGTCTCAGGAGGATACCGTCCCTACCCCAGTGGGACCTTCACTATTACAACTCATTTCCAAAATGGTCACATTCTGAGATTCTAGGTGGTGGCAATTCTTGGAGGTCTGTGGGTGGTCTTGGGCACTAGGATTTTTAGAAACCTCCCAGGTGGGTAGAAGGCCTGCAGCCAGAGCTGAGTGCTGTCAATGAGTAGGGACTGGAGGGGTGTAGTCCACCTGGCAGTGGCTGGGCCTGGGCCTGGAAGGGGACGTGGTTCACACAGCCAGACTGGGCCTGGGCAGCGATGTGGTCCACATGACTGGGGCTGAGGCTGGGGCTGGGCCTGGGCTGGGGAGAGACATAGATGGCCTGGAGAGGGCTGAGGCTAGGATGTGAGGCCCGGGGGCAGAAAGGAGGAAGCAGAGGCTGATCCAAGACTCGAGTGGTGTCTGCGTTGGTCTCCGACCTCTGAACTCTCCTCAGGGCTGACTGCCCAGTTCAGAACGCAGCACTGGCCCTCTGGGTCTCTCTACTTTGCCTCCTCTGGCTGGAGGCACAGTGTGTTTTGTGTCTGTTGCTTTCCTCTTCACCGGAACACTCAAGAGCCAGACTCTTGCTTTGCATAGACCTGTCAGCAGCAACCAAGACTGGGCACACAGGTGCTGAATGACAGGTTACATGAGGGGCACCTAGAAACAGTGGGCCTGAGTGGGCTCAGCAGACAGCCCGGGTGCCATGTCCACACAGTATCCAGAGGAGAGCGGGTTAAGAGCTGATTCCAGCATTTCAATGGGTGTCTCCCACATCCTCCATCCCTTCCCCTGCTAGCAAGGCCCACGGAACTGCCTGGACCAGCCAGAGGTGCGGAGGCTTGGGGCGATGGAGAGAAGGAACTGCACCTGCCCTTTTTTAAAAGCTGCAGGACCCTGAGGCTGTCTTGCCTGTGGGTCATACTCAGAAGTCTGGGTGGGCAGGGCCTGCGTTCAGCTTGCCTGTTGTGGCTCGCGCCCAGCCCAGCCCTGGAGTGCCCAGCACCAGTCCATGTGTGTTGAAGAAAGGGGAAGCGAGCTTTGTCTTGAATAGGGAGAGAGGGCAGTGCTGGGCAGCATGGGGGACAGGGGCAGAGTTGAGAGTAGGAAAGGGGCACAGACGCAGCTTCCCAGGGGCAAGCCCAGCTAGGCCTGTCATGGCTTTTGTCACTTGTAAGCTGAGTGTTGTGCAGACACCAGGCGTGTTGTTTCTGGAGAGTTCCTCATACAGCAATAATGCCATGACGGCATCTCGTCTTCGCCTCGAAGCATTGGGAGGTGCTGGCTGCCACCCAGGCCTTGTCTGCCTGCAGCCCCGACACCCCAGCCTCGTAGGTTCCCAGCTGCCGTGACCAGGGTATTCCAGGGCATCGCTCTCCGCTGTGCCTCAGGATGCCAGAGTTGGTGGCTGGCGGGAAAGGTGACGGTAGGCTTCCGCCCTCCTCTCTGAAGCTGCATCCTGGGCCATCTGTTCCCCTGGCACCAAGACTCTCAGGTCTGTGTGGAGAGCTGCTGTCTTTTAATGTTAGAGACCCAGTTAAACTATTTATGAGTTATGAGGGCAGGATAACGCAAGGGGCCCTCCCCTGAGCCAAGGGATCTCT